TTTACATTGCAATAAATTAATAAAATAATCCAAGGCATCATTTGGATCGTCCGAGTTGTAAACGGGGTCAAAACAAATACTGCTTATATCACTTTTAAGGCTTTGAATGTTGACTTTAGTATAGCTGTGCATGCATTTTTTTCTAAATAAAGATAATTGTAGTGTTAATAAAACAGTCTGATGGTCGGTAAGAGTGGAGTTAGTTATTAATGTAAGGGTGGGTTTATGGGTTTTTATGATGAAATGATCCAAGCATGAGCCACTTTGGTGGGTGGGGTAGTAGTGTGCTGGTAAAAGTCCATGAAATGAACAAATATTTAAGTAGTTTTGAGCATTAGTGTCGGTGCTCCCAGAAGCAATGTTAATGTTGATATCACCAGTTAAGATTATATTATTATATGATGAGAGGGTTTTTAATTGAATTTCAAGCGATTCTAAAAATATGTCAATGTTTTGTGAAGGTGGTCTATATATGGCTAAAATTACTGTATCCGGTTTTATTCGTATAATTAAGGAATTACAACCCGGAAAATTGGGTTGGTCTACAGATATATTTAAGTTATTTTTAGTATATATTACTAATCCATCGTTTTGGTTCAATATTATATCATTCTTATGTAGTAGGTAACCCTTAAGAGATGGTAAATGCGGATGCTGATTAGACAACCAACACTCTGTCAAGATGATAATATCACAGTTTATATCAAGAGTATGTAACAATACCTCAAAACCATTCATGTTTTTGTGTATACTGCGAATATTTTGTGTAATAATTGTGAGTAAATTATCAGTAGTCGGCACATATTGTTTACAGTCTTCGATTTCACAATGTTTAACCTCAGACACAGAAAAATTATCTAGGTCACAGAGCAACTGGTGAGACATTATTAATTAAAATAAAATATAAAAAGGTATAAGTTCTTACACTATCAATTAATACCGGCGCTCTTAGGCGCCCTCATAGTTTATAGAGTTGATGTATTTGTCCTCAGCGTATTTCCGTGCTGGGCAACTTCCATCACCAGTTTGGTGATCACTTGTCCTTTTGAAACGCTTACATGTCGCACAAGTAGGTGGTGCAGCTTTTTTGTTGCATTCCTTAAAGGTATGCCCGAGCTCTCCACAATGGTTACAGGTTGGGCTGGTTTCACGGCAATATTTAGCTGCATGTCCAAACTGCTGGCAGTTGAAGCACCTAGTCACCAGCGTGAAATCTCTAACTGGACAAGAAGTCCAGTTTATGTAGATCCTCCCTTGATTGATAAGCGCCTTTCTAATGTTAGCCGGGACCTCAAGTATATAGTTACAGGTAGGAAGGCTTTTCTTACCTGATTTGTGGCTCAGTTTTATGGTGTTGAGACAGGACTCGCGAGAAGCGCCAGGAAACCTGTCTGCCAAGTTCTGCTCGTAAATGCATTCAAGTACCTCTTTTTCAGTCAGGGCTACGGGTACACCCACCCAAATAATAATACATAAAATCCATGTTATGTAAGAACGTATACAAGAAAAATCGCAGGGTATATCCATTGCCCATAGGCTGCGACTTCAACGTTTATCGGTAGCAAAAAACAGTTGATTAATTTATAATTAATAGGTATTAACTATTTCTCAGTAATGTAGTACGCACCTTTGTTCTGAAATGAGGAAATTTAATCTTTAAGCCATTTAACCATCATACAACATGGCTAATTACTCAATTCAATTGGGCTTTAATAAGCCAACAGACTTCGAATTAATGTATTGGAATGGTTTAATTTGACGCTGTTTATGAGAACAGTAATTAAAATCACTTGCCTTGTAAACTCTATTTATTAATCATATCTTATTAGCACATCTTGAGAAATTTCATTGAAATGAGATTTAGTGAAAGTTTCGTTACGTTACATATTTACATTTTTATATAAGGTAGAACATTTTTGTTTTATTTGATTCAGATGTACTAATGCTGCTCCCGCAAACCGGACTATGTACCTATATTTTAGGGGCCAGTGTTCAGCCCTTATGAAACATGCAGATTAATACATTCAGATTCTTGTTGTACCCGGTATACCATATAATATAGTTACTCCAGTTCAGCATAAGAACGTATTTTTATTTATTGTGTTACTATTTATCAGTAAAATTAAATTAAAAATCAAAAATACGTGTATCATTAAAGTAATTAATGTCAATTATATTCATGGTATTTTCTAGAAATGCTAATTTAAACATTTTGAATTATTTTAATTAAAATAATTGACTGGGATATAGTAGACCTTCATCAAAATTAGGGTATCTATTGTGGAGTGTGACAGGGTTAGGTAACACACAACTAGCAGTCAAGTAAGCCATTTCATAAATAATTTTATAAGAAAGTAAAGAAATATGTAATCAAGAAGTGCTAATTTGATTTATAAAGCCCGTCGGTAAAAAAACATTGATTAAAAAAAAACCCACAAAAAGTTTCGTAAATAACTATAACTCCTTAATTAGGACCGTGGGAGATACATACTTCTAAGCAATGTTTTTGTAGCTTTTCACCGAATCATTGACATTACTGGATACCAGGCCCCCTTCTCCACGATTTTGTAATTTTGGGGTGGGGGGACTCAAAGCGTGGGGAAAGTACTTGTGGCTTAAGTTTCCCGTGTACGTGGGTAGCGGTAGTCTCTTACCGTCGGTTGATCCATCTGCTCGTCTGTCCCACTACACCATAAAGAAAAAAAAACCGGTCAAGTACGAGTCGAACTCGTGCGCCGAGGATTCTGTACCTACCCAGATTTTACGGAGATTTTCGCAAAAACTTGTAAGTACCAAAATTTACCTTAATTTTTCAACTGAAAATTAAGGTAAATTTTGGTACTTACAAGTTTTCGCAATAATCTAAATTTGCCCATATCTTTTTATCGTGTTGATTTTTATACACCTAATAGGTACTATAGACTGGTATAAATTTCAACTTGCTAGGTCCACCCGTTACTGAGAAAATCGGTGGTGATACACGAACAGACAGACGGACAAGAGAGTGATCTTATAAGGGTTCCTTTTTACCTTTTGAGGTACGGAACTCTAAAAAATGTGTTGCGTTGCTTTAAAAACTGTCCTTACACGGTTTGACCTAATAAACAAGTACAATTTAAGATTGAAGAGAAAAAGGGTCATGTTCGGCATGAGATTTGTGGTTCTGAGTTCAACAATTCAAAATTAGCTTTTACGTAGCAAGCACAGGATTGTTATACCTTCGGGCAAGTTAAGAATGTGTGGTCATGAAACAATATAACACTTTATTTTTAGAACAAAACTTTACCGAGCACAGATATAAATACGGTCGAGGAAATCGGTAAGGGTAGCACGTTCTAGGCTCGTACGTGGTGCCTCGTTTCTCAATCGAAGCGAGGCTACGTGTCTACCAGATCTGTTTACCGTGTACAACGAACTCTTTACCTTTTGCGCCTAGTGTTTTATGTTCCACGTTGTTACTGTAACCTATGATACTGAAAATACTAAGTACGATAATTAAATTAAAAAATCTTATTTAAAAAACATTTTTTTATTGTTCCGTACCTCAAAAGGTAGAAAAGGAACCCTTATAAGCACTTTCTTGTCCGTCTGTCCGTGTGTCACCAACGATTTTCTCAGGAACGGGTAGACCTAGCAAGTTGAAATTTATACCAGATACTGAGGTCTATGAACCCTGTTATGTGTATAAAAATCAAGGTACTGAGTCAATACGATAAAAACATATTTTCAAATTTCGATTTGTCAATTTTGGTTTAAAGCACAAATAAAGGAATAATTCCAAAAAAGAAAAAAATGAAAATTATGAAAAATTTTGGTACTTACAAATTTTCGCGAAAATCTACGCAAAATCTGGGTAGGTACGGCACCCTCGGCGCACGAGTTCGACTTGTACCTGACCGGGTTTTTTCGTTTTCTAGTTGCTTAAAGCTAAACAACTCTATAAACATAAAATTAACGTAATGTAGTGAACAATTTGGACTTTGTAAAGTCGCGCTGCGTCAATGTAATAATAGAACTTAAATTTTAAAAAATGTCACGTTATTTCAAAAGTTTGTAGTTGTGAATTTAATGATTTTAACGTTTTTATTTAAAAAAACTTGGTTTCTAAAGTTTTCCTAAGTGGTTGTAAACATGCAATTTATAACAGTGAAAATTAATAGGATTTGCCTGAAAACGTTTGAAACAACATTTATGCAAAAATTTCGCAAAGAACAAAACACAAATGCATGCCATTTACAAAACACAAATTTTGCAAATGGCATGCAGAATATAGGTAGGTTGTCAATATACATTACGAGCACTACTTTGAGCCATTTTCAATGTAAATATCAAAAGTTTAAGATTTATACCGAGAATTGCATAATTATATTAATTATTGAAATCACGTATTACGTTTTTGAATTGATTGTTTTGAATGTAAGCATCACGAATACGTAGTCATAAAAATACTTATAATAATCAGCCATTCAGATGCTGGCATATTGAAGCATTGGCCGAAGCTTGTCGGCGACAGAGTACTGTCATCTGTTAACAGGAACATGCAGATGGACAATACACTCAGGGTTTCGACCTCTATTATCACATCTGTCCCAGTCTGCATAAACCGGCATTACTGTTCTCAGTTGTCGTAGATCGGCAATCAATTAATTTATTAGGTGTCTGATGGCAGATTTGCAAATGGCAAATGCAATGGCAGATGGCAAATTTGATTGTTAGAATTAGCTGTTGTTAATTTTAGGTATCATGAAATTACAACAAATCTGTAGATTTTAGGGAAATCACTGTAGAAATTAAATTAGGCAGATATAGATTACGTAGAGTTATAGTTTCTTTCTAGAGATTGTGTTGAGAAGAAATTAAAATGGGATGATCATTTTCAAGGAAAAAATATTAGCAGATAATTCAAACGAAATATGCCATAAATAAATGAACTATATACTGTATTACTCTTCAAGTTAGGGTTGCCAGAAGGTAGAGATTCAAATATGTAGGTTTAACATTTACTCACCAATTTGGGGCACATCGTACGGTCGGTTGGAGCGGGCGGCTCTCAACATCATTTGGCTAGCGATCTCCGAAGATAATTGGTGCGGAGCTCGTTTGTTGCTGCGCCCGCGGCGGCGCTCCTTGTAAAGCGCGCCGGGCGGTAAGGGCGGAGACTGCAGTTGTGTATAGGCCTCGGAGGCTGGCTCAGGTTCGAAGAGCTCGTTGAGTGGTCGGGATCGCAGCTCGCGTCCGCTGCGCCACTCAGCGGGGAAGCGGCGCGCGGGCTCGGCGGCTGAGCGCAGCGCTAGCGCCGCGAGGACCGTCGTCACGCAGTACACGCGCATACTTAGCCACCTCCGCGTCCCCCGCGGCCCCCACCACACGGGCATCACCTGTTACTAAGTACACAGGAGTACAAGAGCACCCGCTGGGCGCATGCCCCACCACATATTCGTTCTTTAGTGCCTAATGAGTCTTTTTTTACTTCGCTTCAGTTTATATATCGTTTAATCTGATTGTAAAGTTTGTTGATGTTTAGTCTGAAACAAAATAAAACATACTATTACAATGGGTATAAAATATAGATATTAGGTATAATTTACGAAACCACAGAATGATGGAGGGTTCACGTCAGGTAGGCGGCCGGTCATAACAGAAAAAAGTCAAAACCAATTTTGCAATGAAATGATGAACTTTGCGGGAAGGAATGATAAGTTATAGAGGAGAATGGAGAAAGAAGAATCATCACGCCGACCTCAAATAAATTTGAGGAAATGCTAAGACGATAATGATGAATTTAGAAAACAGCAACCTCCTCTTTTGCTATTTTGTTTTAAGATCTCGAAACATGTGATATTACGTACAATTTTAGTTTGGTTTATTAGTAGCCAGTAGCCGGGGAACCATGTGTACCCTAGGAAAGAAATCCCTAGAACCCCGAGGGACCCCAGGCCATCTACAGCTTGTAGACGACCCCCTCGCGTGTGGGAACCGCGTCGCGCCGTACTCACGGCCTGATTCTGGTAGGGTGACAGAAGGCCTCACCTGTCACCCCCAGGCCTGCGCTTATGGAGGACTGAGGTCGTTTTGCGATCTCCGGCGCCTGAGTCTCCTGCGATACCTGGCCCGTCCCCGGGCCTTAATCTGCTCCTATCTGTAGCATTATTAATGAATAAAATGTACTGTGGACGCCCTAATGTACATAGGTACTATACAGCTAATTGCTGACAAACCCAGATCAAACCTTTCTAATTAACTAAGTAGATATATATAGATAGATAGTAAAGATACCCATAAATAAGTAAACGAGAACAGAAAAAAATACTTCTTTTAGAAATTGGTAGACAAAATGTACTATAACTTATAATACAAAAGTTACTATTTCTTAAATTAGCTTTAAGGTTCAAGGACCGAAAGTTTTACAATGACAACTCTTTGTTTTTATATTGATAAGACTCTAAAATACATTCAAGTTATATTTGAGTCTCTCGCATACGTTTATAGTAAAACTATTCCCGACTTGCAATTTATAAATAGTGTGTGTGTATGGGTGTATATATGTGCGTGTTTGTGATGGGCGTGCTCATTGTACCAAGTTTTCGGTTTATGTATAGTCGAACGTTAGTAGCCATGATTTTATTTTGAAAACTAAGAATGATAGTAGAGAAGAATAATAGTTTAAATATAAATTTTAAACAAGATCTTGTCTACATTATGCTCGGTAAAGGATAGCAGGTACAAATGACGACATTGGAGACCCAGCACGACATACCGCCTACATTTCTGTTAAGGATACTGAAAATGTAGAAAGTTTTACAATAAAAACAAATTAACTGTGGTCTAAGTGCGGCTTTCGTGTCTATTCCACGGTGACTTTTAGTATGAAACTTTGCTTTAATCTTGTTTATAAGGTTGACTAAGGAGTACCACAAAGTAATATTAAAAGACCCGTAATGAATCCAAAAACAATGTAACTGATCGTTGAGCGTTTATCATTAAATGCATTGTTGAATCGTTTTGTTCTACGTACTTACAGTGAAATATTCAATTACATAATTGAAAGTTCTAATGCCTGGGCGAAAGTTAAAACTCAAATAATTGTTTATTTTGTTAAATATTTGTTAAACACGACTCTCTGGTTTATCAAAGAAATTATTTAGTATCTACTTCTAAGAAGCTATATTTAAATTTTAAACATTAACTTAATATTTGTACTGTACTTGGCGATCGGATGGCGTAGTGGTTTGTGTAACGGATTGTTCCAGATGTCGCGGGTTCGATTCCCGCTCAAGTCAAACATTTGTGTGCATGAACATTTAATGTTTGATTTGGTCTGGGTGTTTCTATTTATAATATATACGTATTTACAAAAAAAAAGTATATGTGTATTTATATCAGTTGTCTAGTACCCATAGTACAAGTTTTGCTTAGTTTCGGACTAGATGGCGTTGTGTGAATGTGGTAGAATATTATTATTATTATCATATAATTATATTATATTTATGAAGTAGTCATGAAAATATAATTTCTGATAAAAAGAGTTTTTGCAAGGAACACCTATAATTTAACCTTTAAAACTATTTGTTAAATAAAAATATTTGTTATATAAGACAAACTATTTGTTAAATAAGAAAATTAAAAACATATTAAGATAAAAGGTAGGTTTAAATTTAACTCCTACGGCAAGCCCGTTTATTTATTTTTGATAAAGAAGAGCATCAAGCATACGGTTTGTCTAATGGAAAGTGACTAGCAACTCATGAACACCTGTTACTTTTTTTGATATAGAAGAGCATCAAGCATACGGTTTGTCTAATGGAAAGTGACTAGCAGCTCATGAACACCTGTTACTTTTTTTGATATAGAAGAGCATCAAGCATACGGTTTGTCTAATGGAAAGTGACTAGCAACTCATTAACACCTGTTACTTTTTTTGATATGGAAGAGCATCAAGCATACGGTTTGTCTAATGGAAAGTGACTAGCAACTCATGAACACCTGTTACTTTTTTTGATATAGAAGAGCATCAAGCATACGGTTTGTCTAATGGAAAGTGACTAGCAGCTCATGAACACCTGTTACTTTTTTTGATATAGAAGAGCATCAAGCATACGGTTTGTCTGATGGAAAGTGACTAGCAACTCATGAACACCTGTTAATGGAAAGTGACTAGCAGCTCATGAACACCTGTTACTTTTTTTGATATAGAAGAGCATCAAGCATACGGTTTGTCTGATGGAAAGTGACTAGCAGCTCAGGAACACCTGTTACTTTTTTTGATATAGAAGAGCATCAAGCATACGGTTTGTCTGATGGAAGTGACTAGCAACTCATGAACACCTGTTACTTTTTTGATATAGAAGAGCATCAAGCATACGGTTTGTCTAATGGAAAGTGACTAGCAGCTCAGGAACACTTGTAACTTTTTTGATATAGAAGAGCATCAAGCATACGGTTTGTCTGATGGAAGTGACTAGCAACTCATGAACACCTGTTACTTTTTTGATATAGAAGAGCATCAAGCATACGGTTTGTCTGATGGAAAGTGACTAGCAGCTCAGGAACACCTGTTACTTTTTTTGATATAGAAGAGCATCAAGCATACGGTTTGTCTGATGGAAAGTGACTAGCAGCTCAGGAACACCTGTTACTTTTTTTGATATAGAAGAGCATCAAGCATACGGTTTGTCTAATAGAAAGTGACTAGCAGCTCAGGAACACTTGTAACTTTTTTGATATAGAAGAGCATCAAGCATACGGTTTGTCTAATAGAAAGTGACTAGCAGCTCAGGAACACCTGTTACTTTTTTTGATATAGAAGAGCATCAAGCATACGGTTTGTCTAATAGAAAGAGACTAGCAGCTCAGGAACACTTGTAACTTGTTTGATATAGAAGAGCATCAAGCATACGGTTTGTCTGATGGAAAGTGACTACCCGCTCAGGGACACGAGTAACCCAGGAAGAAATGCTGCAGGTGACATTTTGTTAGACAAGGTAAAAAGGTTTTTGTCCTAAGACTAGTTTGAGTTTTAGAGAGTTTTGTATAAATAATTGTGTAATTTTCGACTACAGTTGCACAACAGGGTTACATTACAGTAATACTGATCCAAGTTTGAATTTGGATGCCAATGTGCTCCATATCTTCTTTATAGAATACGGCCACCTTTCAGCATTAAGCCGTCACATGAGCACTGACATGCTGCTGTAAATTTAACTTATTTTTCATATGTTCCGCGTTCCAACTTATCATAACACAAAACACTATTTATAATCAATATCTTTAAATTAAAACTTTATTAAGTTCAGTTTTGTGATAAATGAATAAAGAACATGATTAATGCTATTTTGCCTTTATAAATAACAAAATATGAACTTTATAGCTGTTTACGACACGTCTTTGTAAACACTACTACTTTAATGTATAAAATATTTTTTACTATCTTTTTTTATGTCATTGCTAATTCTGCTGAATGCAAAAAGAGATGTGGAGACCGAAAAAAATATGAGGAACAATATATGTACCAGAACTAAGAGTTTCTTTGAAGGATGCATTAGATGATATGATCCGGATAAAAAAACTTACAAGACATATGGACATTTAGTAAATGTCAAAATGTTATAAAAAAGTGGCAGTAGATAGGCAATTCTTATTTTCTTTCTTTCTTTGTGTTTAATCAATTTTAATGAGCGCAGAATAGTAATACATTTGTATATCATCTTCATTGAAATAATAATATTATGTTATTGATTGATACAGTGTTTTCACTCAGTTTATGTATGAAGCCCTGGGTCACAAGGGTCAATAACATGCATGTCTATAAAGTGGATTTTACTAAAACGAAGCTGAAAAACACTAACAATTTCATAGAAATAGAACACGCAACACTAAAAATGTATATTTTAGACTTTCTAATGCGAGAAAGCTGAATGTTATAAGGGCCGAATCCTGTGGCGTGGCTATATTTATAAACGGGTGGCGCGTTTGGCCGTTGACGTCATCACGAGGGCCGCGGGCCCGAGGGCTCGGGCGGTAGGCGGTGGCGCGCCCTGCAATACGTACTTGCAAATTCGCACAGCGCATGAATGAAAGAATTATTTTATTCTTAGCCGAATTTACACAGGCCTGATTTATTCGGTTCTCCAACTCCTTTTATTATTAGTATACATCTTTCCAAGAAATGATGGATTGTTACAATACCTAATGACATGTGAAAATCTATTGTTATGAACACAATGTTACATAATTTCGGTAGAAATATAATAGACAAAATATATTTTAAAGTTTATAAAAATATTAAAATTAGGTTCTATGTGAACACAAAAATGATACTAAAATTCTTTTTGAAGCAGAAAACAGCTGCTGCTCGTGACCTCCACTAAACCCATCT